ACTATTTAGTAATTAACTTAACACTTTCACCCATTATTAATTACAGAAAACTACAGAAAGCAATCTGAGATAATGTGCTTTTTGACAATCCAATGTTGGGTATAAACCTCAAATCTTATAGTTGCCAGCCCAGATGTATAACTCCTACACCAAGCCATTTAAATCTGAATTTAGACAGATGTTTCAGACATGTTTCCACTGATATGAACCCTGATAAGGATTGAAACCACCCTATGCCACATTCTCACATGTTTATGTTGTCACTGCAGGTCAGGCCGGTCCTCAATTTGAGCGAATGAGGAATAGATGGAAAGAAATGAACTTTCCCTGACTGTGGGAAAATACCAGTTAGACAGACATTAAACCTCTACATGAAACTGAAACGATCTGGGTCTGGGTGCCTCACCAAAGAACAAGTACCGTTGACTTTAATAAGGCAAACGGACCACATTTTCTGAACATCTTCCATGCCTGCATTTCTTCTGACCCCTGAGCAGCAGTTTCACAGCAATATCACTCGCTGTATCATGACACAGGCTTTCTGTGAACTATTGTTGTACAGATACGGTCTATAACTGCTGAACCAGCACCAGTGTAATTCCACATCAATCTAGAGCCTGAAAACACACAGGCTCATCACTGTTGTTTAAAATAAACTGCAGCAGTTCATTATGCCTTCAATTGTTTCATTAATGCATAGGTCAATGTCACAAATAAATATAACAACAACATCTGCTTTTATGTGTTTAATTGTTCAAATTATTTGTTATTTTGTATGCAATTTTATTAAGGTTCAGAGTTTCAATTTTTAACCGTTTTTTAACCGTTTTGGTATTTTTAAAGTGGCAAGATAAAGTGCAATGAGCTTAAGTAGTCAAGTTACTTTGACATCACTTAGATTTTACTTAACACTTTAATTAGTTTATTATTGAAAAATATTTTATTATATCCTATTAAATATTTATATTTAATTATTAAAAAATATTACAGCCTTTTTACATTTTGCAATATTTCAAAAAAAATTTTATTTGAAATTGTATATTCATTCGTATATAATGAAATATGTAATCATATATCCTAGTTTAATTCAAATAAACTTAATTATAAAGAAAATCAATTAAAATAATGTTCACAAACGTTGTCCAAATCACATTTATATTTTAAAAAGAATGTTCGGATTGTAACGTTTTGGTATCCTGATTCCTGCCCCAATTTTCATGATAATTATGTAAATTTTCAATACCATAATGAATCTGGATTTTTTAAAATGTTAATTACCAAAATCATTTGCAGTAATTATTCTCAGTGGTGATACTCATTAGATTCACATTAGCATGTTTAAACTGCAGTAAAAAATACTGCAATTTAATGTTTGTTTGTTTTTTCTACATCAGCAAACATTAAAGGCAGTACAACAAATACAGTGTAAATATTTTTACATATTTATATTGATATAAAATATTTAATTGTTTTTAGAATTACAGTGCAGAGGACTGTTTTCCATTATAGCAATACATATTTAAAGAAAACACTGCTTAATTGTAATTAAAAATTATTATTATTATTATTATTATTGAAAAAGCCAAATTTACCATTTCAAAAGCAAAATAGAATTTCTTTTTACTTCATTTTTATTTTGGAGTGAAATATGACTTTGAAAGGTGTTGTGAGATTCTTTTTCTTAAAACAAAAAGAGTTGCAAGGCCACTACTTTTAATTTTGCCAAAAGTTAAAAAACATTTATGTAAATACACAGGGAAAATACCAAAAGTGATGCAACATTTAACATTAACACTACTGGGTTCAAATGACTGCTGTAGGATCTCATAGGATTTCAATGCAGTGTAAAAAAGAGTTTTCAAAGTTGTAAATACTATTTTAGACTCAGTCTAATTCAGTGTGTTACTTGCTTTCACTTTGCTATTATTTGTGATATACTAAATCTAAGTGAAAACTGTGAAAAGCCTACACCATTTTTTCCAGTGTGGGTGAACAAGCTTGATCAAAGATAGCCATATTGATATGAGATCCCTCAAGTGTATTTTGAAGCTGATCACAAACACAGTTCCAAACCCCTGGTCCTGGAACAGCAACAGACTCTATGGAAATCTCTTGTGTTCAAACATTCCCAGTCTGCGGGATTGCTTTGAAAGTCAAATATGCTGTGTGTGTGAGTGTGAGTGTGTGTGTTTACATATACCGCATGAACCCTAACCTGCACTGCGCTCCATTGTTGTCTACGCAGGCTCACATGGAGTGAACGGTACTCACATGAACCCATGTGGTCCATTTCAAAAAGAGTGGTGAAAGTCACATGACCGCAGGTCAGTACACTTGATCAAACACTTCCTGTTTTTCAGAATGCACACACCCGAGTCAAGTCATTTCAAAGGAAATGTTTAGGGAAATTTATAAAGCACGCTTGTAGGAAAAGAAAACATCATGTGACTCATATTTGAATCTCAGTGAAAATGAATTGTGTACTTATTCAGATTCTTAACAAAAAGTTATGTGTTAAAGAGATAGATCACCCAAAAATGAAAATTCTGTGATCACTTTTTCAAAAGAAATTGCAAAATAAACAACACTGGTCCCCATTGACTTCCACTGTATGAACAAAAAACAACAAAATATATTTTGTGTTCCAATGATGAGTAAATGATGAGATTTCCTTTTTTGGATGAACTATTCCTTTATCAGATGACTCCATTCAAAGTGGGTGTGTAACATGTTTAAGTCATGACTGTGTTAAAAAACAAAAGTCAGGTGATTGTGGAAAAGGAGGAGATTGTTTACAGAATAAATGAGATGGGCTTTTTAGATTGAATCTGAGGCTTGTAGTAAAACAGGTTCATTTCCTTGTTGAATTAACCTTGCCTTGTGAGGCTTGATGGGAAAATCACTTGTTAAGCACCATTATTTTCTAGGCCTGAATATGTAATGATGTATTCTGTTTACACTAGAGGTCAAAGTATATATTGTTGTTGTTTCTGGTTTCCTCTTATCCATGCAGAATACACATACCTACAAACACTTTAAGCATCTGTAGTGGAGTGGAGACTCCCTCCTGTACTAACCGAATAGCCTTTAATTCACATTTGTACACTTCTTTTTTACAGTTCTGCCCAACACACACTCACAGCTCAACCCCTGTGGCTTTCACAGCTCTATTCAGTCAGAGCTCTATAGAGATGCTAGTCATTGGGTTTTGTGATGTGTGGACATCATTGTTCTCCGACTCATTTATTGCATCTCTAGTGTTTTTGGCAAAGAAGACACCGTGATACATTTCACACATATGTGAAAAACATTTATATGTTTTTTTTTAAAGAAAAAAATAAATATCTAATGTAACCAATGATTGATTATTTTGATTAAATAATTTAAAAATAGGAATTTAAAAATATTTATTTACAAATCTAATGATTTTTTAATAATTAAATTTTTTTTTTCCCCAAAACTGAATGAAAACTGTCCCAAAATCCCCACAAGAAAGACAAATAACAATGTGAATCATTTTTCCTAGACAGCAATAAAAGTTAATAGATAGTGTAGTAAATCTTAAGTGTGTCTCCAGAGCTTCAGATAAGATCTCAACAGTATCTCAGTTTGCATTGCTGATGACAGTCAGTGTTCAAAAGCCTGTACGTAGGGTTCAATTCAACATTTGAAATGCACGTCATGGGGGAAAAAAGTTTTTTTTTGCGTCATATGCTTAATTTATACCTGAATAGGTCTGTGTGCTTAAAGTTCAATTATGATGTCACACACAAAAGAATGTGGAATTAATGACAAGTCTGAGAGTGACCTGTCACAGAAACACAAAAGCATTTGGCTGCTCCGTAAATACTCATTTACTTCTGCTGATGACCTCAAAATGACAGATTTCGTTTAAAAAGTTTTCAAACAGACATACATAAAATACAATGAACTTAAAATGAGAATAAATTATTTTTTGAGTCATAAATATTAAGACACTTTTTATGTTAATGAAGAAATGTGCCTATTCATAAAAAGGCCCAAATATCTGATACACTTCTTTGGTTTTCTTGCAAATGTTAATGGTATTTTAACTTTTTAAAACTGATTCAGTGCTTATTTTTATTAAATGGCACTTATTTTCTCAAGAAATTCTGCCTTTGAATGATACTTTGTCTCATTTTTCTGAAGTTAGACCACCTAGACATTGTTGCCTTATAGTCCCACAACAAAATACATAATTACATAATTAATTGAATTTTAATGTACTGTACCATTACCTCAATAGTTCAGGATCTTTAGAAATGTCACAACAATGTTTTATGTTAATATCAGTTAACATTATAGCAAACATTAACTAACAAACAAACAATAAATAGATAAATAAATAACTTTTTAACAGCACTTATTGATTTTGGTTAATATTACAAATGTATAAATTATTTTAGAATTTAATGTATAACTTATATAGTAAATGAGCACACTTAATTTAAATAAACTTTATGAACAAATGTAAATTAATAACGAATAATTACAAACATTAAAGATTGTTTTTCACAATTAGTTCATGATACTTAACACATTGGCTGAACTACACAAAAAAATGGTGTAGAAACAATTTCCATTCCAAAATTACTTGTAAATTTTACAAAAATTTACAAAGAAATGACAAGTGACACATTCAATTAAATGTGAAATTTTGAAGTAGAAAGACTGAAATAGTATTGTAAAACATACTCCAATAATCTTTGTTTTATCATTTTTTACAGTGTATATTGTAAATCATTACCATTTCCAATATATCAACATCAGTCTAACCTGCTGATTTGGCAATTCAAATGTAGCTGTTTTTGTTATGCCAATGAATCACATTGAAACAGATAGAGAGGGAGAGGGAGGAGACAAAGAAGGAGAGTTGAGTGAGGACGTGTGAGGGAAGGAGGGAGGGAGGAAGAATGCTCTGATGTCACACCAGTAGTGCACTCAAATACAAAAGCAGCCGAGAGAAAGACACACATACACATACACACACTCACACACGCTGCTGCCTGTTTCACTTACACAACTCCACAGCACACTTCTCCAGCTCTGAATGTGAGTACAAGTTCACTTTTCTCTCTCTCAGCACACTTCATCAGCACTCAGCAGTCTCTTTGTCCTCATCTTTACAGCTTTTTCATTCTCTCTTTCTCTGTATCCTCTCTCTCTCTCATGTGCTGAACAACTGAGACTGTTTTGGTTAGAGTTACAGCTCCTGATCTATCTAACGGCTGCTTTCTCTACTGCTTTGTTTCTTATAGCTGCTCTTTTGCCAACTTCCAGAGTCTTTTGTGCTGTGAGTCTTTGTGTAAATGTCTCAGTCCCTGGCTGTCTCTATTGTCTATCCTTAACATACCCAAATTCAAAGTCTTCTCGGAGTGCATCATCACAGTTTTAGTATGTTATTTCAGCTGCATTTTAACTAGTTTTATGCTCAGGTTGTTAGTTTTGCGCGGATAAACTCATTTATTGTGTTTGTTTCTTATCGCTCTAATTAAAAACCACAGATGTTTATGAATGTATTGCTTTTTTGTTTGTTTTGAATGGCTTTGTTAGTTGTTTGGTGAAGAAACATGTCTGACCTGGTGCATGATTGGTTTTGAATAGAGAGGCTCTTTGTTTGAGAAATGGTAGTGGAGTAGGATTAATTTTCTGGCAGAGAGAAATAAAGAAAAAGAGGGAGTTAGGAAATTAAATGCTGTAGTAATCGGTGTAAACAGCAACAGGGATGGAGCTACTGAATGAGAAACAACTAAATAAAGTGAATGGGGAGAGAAATATAGATGCTCATTTAGCCAAAGTCAACAGAGAGAGTAGAAATCACACACAGAGCTCTGGAATAAAACAGACTGCTATTGTCAACACAACTAAACAGCAGTCTGGAACAAACCATAAAACATCAAAACTTACAGCTGCTCAGAGGAACGTTTGTCCCAACAGTCTCCTTTAACCTCCACAGGAGAGACAATCACAATGAGAACCACTGTAATATAACAACTGCTTCTTCTAGACAGCAATGAGAGTGCGATTATCTCAAGTGTGTCTCCTTAAAAGCTTCAGATAAGATCTCAACAGTATCTCAAACTGTACTTCTTACTTGAATCAGTGTTCAAAAGCCTCTCCTAGGGTTCAGTTCAACTACTGAAACGTGTCATTGAGGGAAAAAAAGATTTTTTTCGCTTCATGCATTCATTTTATACCTGAATGGGTTCACGCTCAATTATGATGTTCATAAACAGGCATTCTATCACAACACTCATTGACTTCTGCTTGTCCTACGAAATTGCAAATATATTAAAATGACTCAGTCAGACAAGTTTTTACACATATACTGTATATGCGCCTAAAGATCCAGAACTATTAAGTTAATGGTGCAGTACATTAAAATTCCATTATACAAAAAATTATGGAGAACGTGTTTGTAATGTCTCAAAGTAATTATGAAAAAAAAAATGTGTATGTGTGGGGGTGGGTTCCTTAAAGACAAATGTTTAGGTGGTCTAATTTTAGAGAAAATTAGACAAAGTATCATTAAAAGGCAAAAATTCTTCAAAAAATAACTGCCATTTATTATTTACTTAAAAATGATAATATAAACACTGAATCAGTTTAAAAAAAGTTAAAATGCTATTAACATTTATGTGAAAACCAAACAAGTATTTATTGCGTATTATGTATTTAGGCTTTTTTTATGAATAGGCACAGTCAGACATGTTTTTACACATGTACTGTATATGATCAATTTAAAATGATTGTTAAATCATCAATACCAAGAAATTGTCTTTAGAAAGAAGAAATTGTTAGTTGCTAATTTTTCTTGTCACATGATAACAAAACCTGCATGCTAATATGTGTGTGTGTGTTTATACATTTCTTACTAAGATTTTCCACAAAAAAAATTCTCAAAAACATCTAAGAGCTTCATTAAGCCTCCTGAACAATAAAACTGCTCTGCTCTCTTCAGAAAGAGGAAATTGGAGTGGGAAGGTTTTGTTGTTTTATGAGTGAAATCAGGATTAATTAATGCAGAGATATAAAGGAGTCGCCCATAAAGAGGGGCTGCACAAAAACGGCAACAGATGCTTAAATAGTTTTTTTTCACCTCCTCCCAATTTTTCTCTCTCTTTCAGACTGGAATCACATGGCCAGAGTGTGGGATAGGAACGAACTCAACAGCAGGATCTAAAATGCCAATCTCTGGAACATAGAGGAAGCTTTTGTTTGAGGAAAGGACGATAACAATTCCAAAAAAGGAGCTGGACTCTTCAGAGAGCGTTTTTGTATACCAGCACACTTATTCAAAAGCCTACAACACACAAACAGATACAACATGCTGCAGCAAATCCTAGCTGACATGTACATCGACCCTGATGTACTAGAGGCCTTGAATGAGGAACAGAAGAAGATCCTGTTCTTCAAAATGAGAGAGGAACAAGTCAGGCGCTGGAAGGAGCGGGAAGAGAAGGAGGGCAAGGAGGGGATAAAAAAAGAAAAGTGCCGGCAAAAGAGAGGTATGAACTCACACCCTTTCTAAAAATACAGCCACGTCTGTCATTCTGTGAGCATCAACAGGAGACAAAAACTATTTACAGAACAGTCAAATGCTTTTGTGTCTCTGACACGCCACAGTGTTGTTTGCACATTCTTAAATCTGGGACATCATAATTGAACCTCACAGACCCATTCGGTATAAATTGAGCACATGAGGTGAAATGTTTACTTTTTTTCCAGATGACGCATTTCAATAGTTGAATTGAACCCAATGAAGAAGCTTTTGAATAGTGACTGTGGTGAGCAGTGCAGTGAATACTGTCAGCTACATTCACACAGCAGCAGTGCTGAATATAATTCAGTTCTGTTAGAAGAGAGAAAAATTGTGTTCACACACACTTCAGCTATTAAAGAGCATGACAATCACTTAATATAATCGAAATAACTATCAGTTTCAAAAGACATGTTTTTTTTTTTAAATATTCGTATTATTTTTTTCTAAATAATACCAATAATAACTTCCCAATCTTCCTGTTTCAATTATATCTGCATTTTATTTTTCTATTTTATTACTGATGTGGGTACATTTCGATTTTTCAATATTTTGAATTATAGTATGTAACGTGTAAAAAAATTAAAATAAAAATTCTACTGAAAAAAAAAAAACGTTTTTTCTAAAAGTTACCATCTAATTTCCTTGAGGCTCTGGCAATAATATTGACATTTTAATTTCAGCTAATATAGAGACAAACGATTTACACTTAAAAATTTGGGGTCAGTATAAGATTTATTTTCACTTATGCTTACAGATGCTTCATTGATCTGATTTAAAAAATACAGTAAAAACAGTAATAATATTGTGAATGCTGAATTTTCAGCATCATTACTCCAGTCTTCAGAGTCACATGATCCTTCAGAAATCATTCTAATATGCTGATTTCCTGCTCAAGAATAATTTCTTATTGTAAATGCTGAAAACGGTTGTGCTGCTAAACATTTTTTTGTGGAAACTTGATACTTTTTAAAGATTATATAATGAAAAGAAAGTCCAAAAGAGCAGTGTTTATTTGATGTAACATTCTAACATTATAAATGTCTTTACTGTGACTGAATATTAATATCTTTCAAAAACAAAATCTTACTGACCACAAATTTTAAACTGTAGTGTAATTTACATACTGTCAGTGCTATTTCAACCCATTTAGAGCCTGATTAAGTAAATTCACCCCTTGATGTGTGAATATAGCCAATCAGAGAATGTTTCACTTTTTTTGAATGTCTGTGCAGATCCTTTTACGCAGTTCCAGCAAACTATATGAAAGCAGCGTGTTACAAGGAACTCGAAATAAATCTTTTAACACGCCCTCACTGATGTAACAAGAAAATCAATACCTGTGCAAAATGTTCTAACGTCATTTCAAGGTGAGCACATATTTTTGAGGCCAAAGGAAATTAAGTGACCTGAAAGTGCATAACAATACCGCACAGACATCCTACAGCTGCAAGGGGCAAAACCAGAGCCAAATTCCAGCTTTTCAACACTGACCTTGCAACACAATACCCACATGCAAATCACCTTGAAGTAGATTACTGTTTATGTCCATAGCATCAGCATTTGTAAAGAGTTGAGCCTTGTTTGGGATCTAACCCCTGTAATGCCGTAGGGGCCCTGCTGCTGTAAATTCCTCTAAACATTTCATGGCTTTCTTACACTAATGCCTGAGGATGTGCTTTGCCAGAGATTTGGGCATGGAATGTTCTCAGGAAGCACAACATGCAAAAACAAAGCAACCATAAAAGAGCCATTTTTGGTTGCCCAAAGAACCTTTCAGTGAACAGTCTTTAAAAGAAACATTTTTCCTTAGTGTAAACAGCATTTTAAACATCTAAAAGCATTTTGTGGAATTAAAAGGTTGCCTTGATTATAAAGTTTCTTCATGGAAGCATCAATGCCTTTATTTTTTAAATTTGATAAAAACATCACCATAATCCACAAATAATTCACACGACTCCAGTCCATCAATTAACATCTTTGAAGTGTAAAGCTGCATGTTTTTATCATTAAGTTGTTTTTAACTTTAATTATTGCTTCTGGTTACAACAACAGTCCTCTATCCATAATATTGCTTTCACCAGTGAAAAAGCATATCTCATTTGAATCAGAAGAAAAATATGCACAGACCAGGCAGTGTTTACAACAAACATGTTGTAAACATATATGTGAATTTTGATGTGAGAAGATGGATGGACTTTTTCTACTGAAGAAAGCATTATTATGAATTATGAACTATTTTGGCCAGTAGCAATGGGTAAAAGTTAAAATGCCTTAATGATGGAGTTGCTTCTTACAAACACACAGCTTTTCACTTCACAAGAATTTAACTGATGGACTGGAGTCGTGTGGATTATTTATGGATTATTGTGATGTTTTTATCAACTTTAATTCCGACTAAGCAAGTGATGCAATGCAAAATTTCTTCAAATCTGTTCCATTGAAGAAACAAACTTATCTATACAATACCTTGGATAGCCTAAAGGTGAGTACATTTTGGGTGAACTAATCCTTTAAAATGAAAGCTCTTTAGAGAATAGAAGAAAAAAAAAAACAATAGTGTGGTTTGCAAATGACAGTATGAGGAAAAAACTGAGAACAAGAGTTGTGTAACAGAGCATAAATATACATGGAATTTCAAAACATTAGATGGTCGTAACATCTGTGAGAACTTGAACCCATGTTCCCAGGCTGGGAAAAAACATTCAGTTCATGTGATGATGACGATGGAATCCAACCAAACAGGAATTTACATTTACAACAGCATTTGCTCAAGGACATAAATGTTCTTGTATGTGTTCCTATCAATAGTGCTGGTATTCTCCCCCGGCTTCTGTTTCTCATCAAAAAAGCGTCAAGTCACATGAGTCACATGTAACACAGGGCCTTTGTGAAGTATGTTTAGCTGCTGCAAAAACGGGCACAAAAGAGAGCTGCTGTGTCACAGTCATGCAGTTTGACTCTTATTCATTTACTTCAGTTTGACACGAACACAGTCAAATCTCTTTTGATTTTCTCTCCACGGACACACAACTGACATGGTTCACAGTTCATGTCAATGGCAGCATTGTGAAACGCAGCTGTGTCCGTCTTTCTCTCGCTCAGCACTTTGTGGCCGGTTTCAGTCGCCTTAGCTGATACTGTGTCAGCTCTGCGTCAGGGGAAGTCGAGATAAATACTGTTGAAGTTTCTGTTGGCAGTTCTTTTTGTACACAGACAAACAAAACTATGAGCTATCGCTGGAACTTTGTACCCGAGACTCTTTTGCAGCCCACTGGAGAGAAAAATCACCAATGAGATCTCTGTAATATGTCACTTGTTTGTCTTTGACAGCAATCAGATTAAATGGATAGCAAATGGAGACTTAGAGGTGTGGTCAGACTTGACATAAACCTGGGGAATTACTATAGACACCTAATGCGTCAAAGAATATGAGCAACAGGATGTGATGTCACACTCTCTGTCTTTGTAGCATGACCCATCCTATTTTTCCCAGATGTGTCCTCTAAAGGTGCAAATCATTTAGTAGCACACATTAGTGTAGCAAATCCTCAGCCAAAGGAATGATTCTGTGAGCTAAACCGACTAAATTAAACACTTTACAACAAGTCCTGGTAACATTTGTTAAGGTGTTATGAACTAACAATGAACTAAATTTTTGACATTTAACAAGTTAAACATATAACACATATAACAAATATTATATCTGCATTTATGATTCCAAATGCATTATCTAATGTAAATAACATAGGCTAACATTCCTCTTTTTCTTTTTAAAGCACAACATTGTATCCCTAGTTTTTGATACATAATGGATTATACATATTAATTTCAAATATCAACATTTACAATCTACACTACTGACAAATTAAAGCATGCAGCTTGTCTTAAACTCATTTACATACTTTAAAGTCAAAGATCTCAACATGAACTCAAACATCTATTATCAAATTCCATATAAAACAAAATAATCTGAGGTGTTAACCACATCTTCACTGCTCTACACATGTGGTTCCCAACATTTTAACTCCAAGGCACTGTCCACAACAGTTAAAGACCCACAACCCTTCCAGCTGTTCATGATGTACTGGATAAATATTCAGGATAAGGATTTAAAAATATATTTTTATTCACAATATCTACCTGATATACTTTTTTGTAGAGCTTGGCATATAAAAAATGTATGTTCATGAAATGCATCCAAATTCTCATGGAATTACAGGATTTGATTAATTTAAATGACTGATTCAGATGTAGAAATCACACTTCTATAATTAGGCTTCCTTATACATCCAGGTTTTTCAAGACTGGTTCTTCCAAGAGAAAACTGATTTTTGATAAGAATACTATTAGAAGTTTGCTGAGGGCCCCTGGTTGAGAACCGCTGGCCTGTTCTCTTATGGCGCTTTTCCACTGCGTGGTACGACTCGGCTCGGCTCGCGTTTCCACTGCTGTTCAGTAAAGTTACCGCTTTAGAGTGGGCGGGATTATTCACATGTCGCTATAGTTGCGCCGCCTCTACTGCCGCAACTCCTGAAAAACTTTTTCATTCTGCGTCGACCCATCAAGCTCCTGAAAAAAAAACCCACCGCTCCTCTGCTATCAATGAGAGGAACGTCTGTACTTCTTCAACAGACAACGAAACAGAGTTGCGTTCAATCCTCTGCTGGCTGTGCTGATTTAAATCTAATGGTTCTGTTGTGTTTGTGTCGCAAGTTCAGTGACGTAGTAGTGACGATTCTCTCCGGCCAATCTGTGATCAGCAGAGTTTACACGTCACGTTTTGGTAACGGTACGGTTCACTTGGAACCTCAACCGAGGTGGTACTAAAAAAAGTACCAGGTACCAGGTACTGTTCCCAGTGGAAAACCACCCAAAAGTGAAACGTACCGAGCCGTACCGTGCCGTGGAAAGCGCCATTAATGTATCTCCGCAATCATCTCATTTGTGCTTATTTTAAGGAACTTAAATGGATAGTTCACCCAAAAATGTAAATTCTGGATTGGAACAACATGAGGACGAGTAAACGATGCCAGAATTTTCATTTTGGGTGAACTGTACCTTTAAGGAGTAACGAGCTACTTCCAAGCTAGTCTGCTATGGGATGGTATGAACACAGATTTTTGAGGGCTTGTTGTCTTTTATTTGTTGTTTTATTACATAAAAGGAGGGATAAGCTCAACCATTGATAAGTTGCGTTCCTATACAAGGTGCAGCTGGCCAGATTCAGCCCTGGGCTGCTCAATGGGGTCATAATGCTTTAAGAAACACTCCTCAAAAAACACATTCATCGCCATGCAGTTACATCACCTTTCAAACACACACACACACACACACACCATGTCTTAAGCAGCATATGTGGGTGAACTATGAGACCTTGGCAACAAGCACTACACAGATTCGTGAAAAAAATACCTCCGAAAGATGTGCCAGTTTTATATTATGTAACTTTTGTAGATTCAGCAACACATACTGAACATTTCTGAGATTTCTAACAGAAACCCTAAATTCATTCCTGCATGGAAATGAAGCCATTTGATCTGCCTCGTCGTAGCGTGGCTTCTGTCGACCAGGAGAACCGGTTCTTTACGTAACCTTTTCTGCTGGAAGTGAGGGGTGTTAGGTTTTCCCTGACGTGCAAGCAAAAACAAAACCAAAAAAAAAGGAATAGAAAAACAGATCAACCCCTGTTGGAACAAACGGTTTCACGCTGGGAAATTCTTGAAATTTTTTCCATAATTCCCACTGTGATATTCATGGCATTATGATGTACATTTAGATTATTTATCTGAGGTGAACTGCAATCCCCTACAATCCGCACAAGGATCCTCTTTGTTGCCTCTTAGGTAAGCCCTACATATCAGTTGATCACACTTCGTTTCATGCCTTCAAACATTTGGTGTAATCGGAGAAGGCTAAATCACACTGAAATAATGATGAGGGTGACTGGGAAGGATTCACAGCTTTTGTGGGCCGGTGCAAGTGTCTGTAAGGTGATAATACAAGCCTGATGAACGCTGGCATTGACATCTAGACACTGAATGACATTTACACACTTCTAAACCAGAGCAGGCGACCTAGAGTATGCAGGATCAATTTCATTCAATGTCACAGCGCCATCTGTCTGTGAAAAGGACACATTACAGAGCATAATATTGGAAATCAAGGGTTCAGGGTTTGGCTGGTTAACATCTCAAAGGGGTCTGTAAACAAAAAAAAATATGCGGCAGAATACAATTTTAAAAGGCTGTCAATGGCGAAATATGCTTTATGCCAAACTGCCAAACCTCATCCCCTTGGGTTGAGTAAAGAAGATTTAAATAACATGAAAGGTTCAGAAAGCAAGTAAAAGGGGTAATCATGAGCTGTTGCATCTACTGTGCCTCTTTGTCATTGTAACTTAATTGTTTCTGTGTTGCTCATTTATTTATTGTTTCTCAGATATTGATTTTCTTGGCATGTTTATTGTTTTGTCCTCAGGCCCTTGTAAAAGTGTGAGCTGGTTGCTGGGCAGTGATGGTGATGTGCATGTGTGTATTATCGGAGAATCAGATGAGCTCAAATCTCCAAAACTCATCCTGTCCGAGCTGAGAAACAAGACAGTGGCCAACCCTAATGCTATCAACAGGTACAACACCCTCAATAATAGAAATACATCGTAACACTTTAGGCCAATTCTCACTATTAACTAGCTGCTTATTAGCATGCCTATTATTAACATATTGGCTGTTTATTAGTGCTTATAAAGACATATTCTGCATGACCATATTCTACATCCCTAATCCTACCCAATACCTAAATTTAACAATTACCTTACTAACTATTAATAAGTAGCAAATTAGGAGTTTATTGAGGCAAAAGTTGTAGTTAATAGTTTTGTTAAGAATTGTACCTTAAAATAAAGTGTGACCAAATACACTACGGAAGGGATTATTGTTGAGTACACATTATGGACATTAAATATTGATTTAAGTTTATATGTTTTTAAAAAGGACATTTTGATTGCTCAAAATTGACAGTGATACATTTATTAAGTTTATATTCATCATCCCTACTCAAAGGCTCCTAGAATGTTACTTATAAAAATCAGCAATAAATTATATTTCAAAATACCTTAGATAGACAAATGTTATTTTAATTTGTAATAATATTCATACTATTACTGTTTTCTGCATTTTGAACAAATACATAAGAGCATAAGAGACATTTAAAAACATACAAAAAAATGACCAACCCTAAACTTTTGAATGGTTGAGTGCATACTAGAACATCTAGTTGCCTTTTAATGGTCATTGTACTAAAATATCTGGATACCGCAACAGACTTGGAATTAAATATTCCAGAGAGCCATATAATAAATCTCAATAACAGCAGGCAAAATACATACTAACTAACAGCAGATAAAAAATGCACTGTCACTATGCCTCAAATACAAACATTATTGGAATTAATAGCAATCTAACTATTCTCAAACCAAAGAGCTAAATGTGTTTTTCTTTGTTCACAGAGCAAAAGCAGAAACTGTAAAGAGCAGCCTGACCAAACCCAGCAGAACACAACAAACCAGTACAGAACCAGGGATCCAGCTACTGCTTAAGGTGTGTGGGGGTAAAGAAAGAAAGATTAGTTGGGGTAGTTAGAGCACTTCTTATGGTTCTGCTTCAGAAATGATGTTGTATTAGACATGAAGTGGCAACCCAGCACAGTTCCAAACTATCACACAAAAATGTCATTAAAAAATAATAAAATGGCACATAGGCCAGAGAAAAAGATAAATTGTTACATTTAAATCGTACATTAATTAATTTAGCAGATGTTTTTAACTAAAGCAAATTACAAATGAGGAATACAACACGCAATTCATCTTAAGGAGGCATAGGCTGAATAGTAAGAACTTTGTGAATGATATTTGCCTTTTACCTTTGGTGGGGTTTTTTTTCAGGATAAGGCAATGTCACATAACTTCTGCATCTTGGTATATAATATGACTCGACTTCTATGAATTACAGTACATAAAAAGTGTGTAACCAAATCAGAACAAAACGGTTTTTAATAAAAATAGGGTTGCACAATTTTGGGTCACTAAGCATGAGATGAGATTCACAGGGTTGGAGGAAAAAGAATATCATTAGCTTGGTATAAAAACAGACCTCAATGGAAAGTCCACTATGATAGAACGTGTGTGTGAGTATGCATGTGTTTAAATGAGTGTGCTTTCATGTGATTTGACATTTGAATGTGCATATGTGTGAGAAGATGCACATGTATATGTGTGTGACTTTAATAATAAGAGCAGCAATAATAATAAGACGATGGGTGTGTGTAGTTGGACAGGCCAGGCTCCCCTGAGCAGATGGTTTAGAGCCTGGGCAGAGAATTAAACGGTATCAGATGGCATCAGTGCCACGTTGCCAGAGGGAATACACACACACACACACACACACTTCCGTCTCTCTGTGTCTCTGAATTTGTCAACTCCGATTTTATAAGTGTTTACAAATGAGTTTCATTCAATCTGCCACAGAAACCAGAGGAGCTCAGCAATTCTACGACAGTCTCAGATGAGTCCAAGCAGGACGGCGGTTCTGATCAGTCAGCTGACGACACCAGGGGCCAAACAGATGACTCAGATTCGGGCAGCGCGGAGGACGACACGGGCCTTTACAGATCACATATGAGCAACACAGAAACAACAGTAGCTGACAGACTCAGAGAGCTTCAACTGCACAGAGCAATGAAAGAGCAGCTGTCAATCAACAACAAGACACACCCACTGGACACACCCACACCAGACAAAGGTAAGAGCACAGAAGTAGAATCTGAATTAATCCCAGGTATTCTTTCAACAACATACTACAAAACCAGCACAGAACAAGAAACAATGAGAAACATTTATTTAGCATTTATTAATAATTATTATTATTTGCATTTGTTTATCTGTTCATGCCTAATAGTAGCCTAATTATTTTGTTTAAACATGTCTAAAGTTTGTAATTTTGCAATTTTCTAGCAATGAACATGTTAACATTAGTTTAACATTGGTTAACCATCAAAATAAAATAAAATTAAAATTCTAAAATTAAAACTAATATATGTAATATATATATAATCTTAAGGAGGCATAGGCTGAATAGTAAGAACTTTGTGAATGATATTTGCCTTTTACCTTTGGTGGGGTTTTTTTTCAGGATAAGGCAATGTCACATAACTTCTGCATCTTGGTATATAATATGACTCGACTTCTATGAATTACAGTACATAAAAAGTGTGTAACCAAATCAGAACAAAACGGTTTTTAATAAAAATAGGGTTGCACAATTTTGGGTCACTAAGCATGAGATGAGATTCACAGGGTTGGAGGAAAAAGAATATCATTAGCTTGGTATAAAAACAGACCTCAATGGAAAGTCCACTATGATAGAACGTGTGTGTGAGTATGCATGTGTTTAAATGAGTGTGCTTTCATGTGATTTGACATTTGAATGTGCATATGTGTGAGAAGATGCACATGTATATGTGTGTGACTTTAATAATAAGAGCAGCAATAATAATAAGACGATGGGTGTGTGTAGTTGGACAGGCCAGGCTCCCCTGAGCAGATGGTTTAGAGCCTGGGCAGAGAATTAAACGATATCAGATGGCATCAGTGCCACGTTGCCAGAGGGAATACACACACACACACACACACACTTCCGTCTCTCTGTGTCTCTGAATTTGTCAACTCCGATTTTATAAGTGTTTACAAATGAGTTTCATTCAATCTGCCACAGAAACCAGAGGAGCTCAGCAATTCTACGACAGTCTCAGATGAGTCCAAGCAGGACGGCGGTTCTGATCAGTCAGCTGACGACACCAGGGGCCAAACAGATGACTCAGATTCGGGCAGCGCGGAGGACGACACGGGCCTTTACAGATCACATATGAGCAACACAGAAACAACAGTAGCTGACAGACTCAGAGAGCTTCAACTGCACAGAGCAATGAAAGAGCAGCTGTCAATCAACAACAAGACACACCCACTGGACACACCCACACCAGACAAAGGTAAGAGCACAGAAGTAGAATCTGAATTAATCCCAGGTATTCTTTCAACAACATACTACAAAACCAGCACAGAACAAGAAACAATGAGAAACATTTATTTAGCATTTATTAATAATTATTATTATTTGCATTTGTTTATCTGTTCATGCCTAATAGTAGCCTAATTATTTTGTTTAAACATGTCTAAAGTTTGTCATTTTGCAATTTTCTAGCAATGAACATTGGTTAAACATCAAAATAAAATAAAAATTCTAAAATTAAAACTAATATATGTAATATATATATATATATATATATACATACACACACACACAAAATATTATATGTTCATATTTCTATATACAATTATAATTATATAAACACTATTATATAAATATTATAATATTACTTAACATTATTTACAATATATTATATTGTAACTAAGAAAGGTAAGAGCAGAAGTAGTATCTGAAATAATGAAATAAGGTGTTCTTTCAACAATATATTATTAAACATTACAGAACAAAAATGCACAACACAAGATTATCAACATTTATCTTATATAACATTTATTGTATATATAATTTATATGAATATATTTTTATATATTATCCAAATATTAAATACATAAATCTTATAATATTTTTTAATATTACTTCATAATATATTTATAACTACATATATAAATATTAAGCATATATTATAACTATAACCAATAAACATTTGCCCAACATAATTGACAAATTGTCCAATATAATAGACAAATATCAGATAATAAATGGCCTCAAATACATTTATTTTCAACATTAAAAACAATTTATAAAATAATTATATATTTTTTTATTTTAATTTATAAAATAAATACTTTTTTGTGTGTGTAGTATTTATTTAATTTTGATAAAAAACATGTTTCCTACTAATAGAAAAGTAACAGATAAAAATTATTTCATATATAATATATGATATGATATATTATTTAGTTTAAAATGTGGTTTATAAAAACCTTACAATTAGAAAGGGACATTCACGTTGTTGTCAATGTAAATAGACAGCAAGCGCCATCTAGTGGACTAATGTCATTAGCACAGGCAACATGCCTGCGAGCGCCGCCTACAGGACACACCAATCACAGCAACACTTTCCTTTGTTAGCTGCGGCTAATGTTTTTAAAAACAAGGAACTTTGCGCTGCTCTTTGCTAGGTCTTCAGACCTACACATCAACTACAACCAAACTTCTTTGGAAACAGAAAACAAATACGAGCTCAGATGATTCAAACACATTAACGCACCTGTACCTGGCTGTCAGCTCGGGATGGCAGATGTTGTTTGTGTCGTCATCTCACATAATATTGCACATGCATGTTAATTTAATTAATGCTAAAGTGGATAACTTATGATTTACGTGTGGGTCATCGTGTGTGAGTCAGTGGGTGTGTGTGTGTGTGTGTGTGTAACTCAATCTTTGTGTGGACACGCGCGCGCATATGTGTGCGCTGGAGCGTGAATTTGCGCTGATCCCACGTTTCCATGGCGACAGCATAACGCAGTCAGGGGTCACGGCTGCAGGGCCCGGCCAGAGAAACATCAACAGGAACTGCGGCTCAACTCCTGAGAGAGAAATAGAGAGAGACGTGACAAAACTAGATTGCTCCCATTATAATCAACACAGCTGTCAGGTAGGAACCAGAGGAACGATCTAGTTTTGTCACATGGTACTGCTTGCGTCACTACCGCCACAAGTTGTCGACGTCGTATCATTTGGTCTTTATTGTGGAAGCGATCTTCAGCTCAACTCGACCGAGAGCCAACATTTAAAACGACAGCAGGAGATATATCAACAGCAACCGTTTACACTACGCATTTGCAACAACTAAGCACCGGCTGTTATTTGTTTATATAGGCAGTTATATTATTTTCAACATGCGACAGCAATGATTATATATAATAGGAAATGATAAAATATCCTAAATATATATAATTCTGAATGTATACGTGTAAATTGGAACATATAGACAAATGTAAATTAAAATATATAGATAAAGATCTGAATGTATACATACAAAACTGAGGAATATAAATCATGGATATATGTATAGAAGTAAATCTGAATATCTATACATCTATATGTGTGTGTGTATGTGTGTGTGTGTATATATATATATATATATATAAACAGTCTGAATATAAAATACAAAATATGAAAACATTTATATTTCAAGATTTGTAAGATATGTATATCAAGATCTATATATTCAGACTTAAAACAATAGGCTATATTCAGATTTTATATAATATTTCCTGTTTAGCCCTTCATAAATCTCTGTATGTTATGTATTCATATGTGTGAAAGCTTTTTGCTTTTTGAATGGATTATTATTATTATTTATTAATTAATTTAATTTAATTTAACAAAATTTTGACAGTCAGTTTGTGTTACATTTTACAAAGACAGAATATTGTTTTAGTCAAACTGAACTTAAACCTTTGAGTGTCAGTGTCCCAAAAATGTCTTTGTGTGCGATGTATTGTTTATTGCTGATGACTTTGCCACGTTGCATCTGGTTGGAAATTTTCAGTCATTATAATGGGAACGATCTTGAGTTGCCGTGCCATTGCTTGCAACTTGAATATAGAGATTGCGTCACTTGAATACAAGGGAAAAACTGCAAGTAGAGGGCATAGTAAAGACCCCCGCATCAGTGCGGAAGGAAAAAAGTGATGGCAAAAAGTCGGTCTCACAGGAAAAGCGTGAAGGGGGCGGAACTCTAGGCTTAGACCCCTCAGGGAGAGTCTAAAAATATAGTTCTCCACCCACTGGCCTCTCCTCTGAGTCTCACTCTCCACAGCATCTGTCTCTGAAGTCACCCACGATCCCCACAAGCGTCCTCCCTGTCTCGTCCCTTTCCCCCTTTTACCTAATTCACCGCTTCACCTTTTCCCTGACCACCTGTCTAACCCTGTTTAACACATTCAAATTGAGTCATCACTCCTGTAGCCTTTACCCTCTACCTCACTCTCCTGTTATTTGTACTCTCTTCGTCCTTTACTTTCTTCATCTCACTTTTTTCTCTTCTGCCTGCTGTCGCTCTACTTACTTCTCCCTCTTGTGACCTCTAGACCTGCCTTGAGTGGGTGGAAAGGAGGAGAGAGGGAGAGAGAGAGAGAGAGAGAGAGAGTGAGAGAGAGAGAGAGACAGCTGTGGATGTATTATAATCCCCGGCGGGTTTGTGTCAGGGGTCTAACAGCTTTTTAAAGTCAGCAGTGATTTACAGACAGTCAAAGTCTCGTAATCACGAATTTCTGCTTGATTATTTCCTTAGTCTTGACCTCTCGTGAGGTCATCGTGGCTCTAAACCAAAACCCAGTGAGCTGACTACATAAGCAGAATTTTAAGGTACCGTAGACGCGCTCCAGGCACAAAGGCTATTCCATATGGTATGCAGCATTATTATGGCAGCAACTAATGTATTTTTCACAAAGAAGGCAATTCCATAAAAAATTGTGACAAGCTCAATGGAAAAAAAAAAAAAATCCAAAATGGCATTAATTAATGATTGAATAATAAATAAATAAAATATATAGTTAAATATATATAAAAATTTAATATTTAATTAAAAAATACTTAAATGTATGTAAATAATTTAATACAATTATTTAAAAAAATTATTACATAATATATATATATATACATAACATTGTATGCTGCCAATAGACAGCAAAACAACTCACTAGGTTTTGTTTCCATGTCTAATCTAACAATCTTTCTTCTTCTCTTTCTCTCTAAAGGAGTGATGAAAGATAAGGATAGCGGTCTGACATACGGCAGTCGTGTGGCTCAGCTAAGGAAGAACTTCAACACCAGTAATGCTCCATGTGTCAAACCACCGATCCCCTGCAAGCCCCCTCACCTACTGGCCTCCCCCTCTGTCAGATAAAAACAACACTGCCACACTGCACACCTGAAAAACATCCTAGTGTATTCAAAAACCTGCAAAACGAACTAAAAACACAGAAAGACTTGCGCATGTGAGCAGATCCAGGTGTGGACGCAGCTGGAGACGGACGTTGTACGGAAATCAAACACTTCTTATGACCCAGCTCGAGCCATCAATCTTCAGTTTTCACACTGTTTACAGAGGACCGTGGTCTCCAGAGGACTCAAAGATTTGTTCTACTGCCTTATATAGTTTATTTTTTTGTTTTTTTATATAAACTTTGTTTCCTTAAGGGGAGAATGACCAAAGTTATTGTTTAATGTTTTTATAGATAATGGCTCATCTTTCTTGTCTGGTTGTAAATAACGGTGTTATATTGTATTAATAAAACAACTGGTTTTAACTGGTTGTGTGAGCTGAATGCTAATGTAACTAGGAATGCTGTTCCAGGCCCTTCGATGTCTAGATAGATAGATGGTTGGGTGGAATGGATGCACGAATAGATGTAAAATGTATTTCCATATTATTGCCACGTTTGATAACTCAGCGGCATCTGGTTAATGATGGAGACAGTCCATCATTCCAGACTGTGAAACAGCAGCTGGGATAGTTATCATCTGTGCGTCCGACTGGTCGAGACAGACGGCAGCGCCGGGCCGTCATGCTGACCCTCTCGTCTCAAATGAGCTCATGCAGCTCAGTTACTGACCTCTCCCTTATCTCCCTCTATTCCGCACTTCCTCTGATGGATCAGGGTGGACAAAAAGAGACATGGAGGTGCATGGAAATAGAGGGAGCATAGATACAAAGGAAAAGATATGGAAAGAAGGACATAGGGAGATGGAGGGAAGCTATACATGATCTGAAGGGGATGGGTCACTCAGTCTCAGTCAAATTTAGTTGATTTGCAGGTGATTTTTCTGTAAGATGGAATTAAAGTAACACCAGTACTGACTGAACCCTTCTGTTGAAACTGTGGCCTCATGGTTAGCACAGATTCTTAAGTGGTAGTCAATGGGCAGTCTATATATATTGTTCAATTTAACAAAATTCTCATTACATGTATATAGTAATATATAATTAATGTATATGACCATAACCATATTCAATTAGTATGATAGCAATTCCAATATCAAACGTTTGTATATATACACACACGTCAACATGATTAAAATCTTCCAATTCAACACAATTTTACATTCTATTCAGATATAACTATAAACATATTTGGCTATAATGTTATTTTATATGTAGGCTAGTTCTGAGCAACAAAAAAATAACATTGACGTTTTACAAAGACTTTTAAAGTTGTTTTTAAAAAATTATATTTTAAATGCATTGGCATTCTTTTGAACTTTCTATTTATCAAAAAAAAAAAAAAAAAATCCTGAAACAAAATTATTATTTTAATGGCTGCTGAAAATCCAGCTTTCCATCAATAAATTACATTTTAAAATATATTCAAATACAAAAAAAGTTAAAATTGCACCCTTGGTGAGCATAAAGAAGTTCTTCCAAAAACATTTTAAAAAATCTTACCGACACCAAACAATATAGGCTATATATAAGGGGCTGTACTATTGGGACTGTTCTACTGATGAATGTTATGTGCAGTTATTTTCAGGGAAATGCACAGCTAACGTAGTTCCAGGCAAGTCTTTCAAAGGTCCTTACAGCCTACAACAGCAAAAGAGACAAAACCCACAATGACACCGATAAATATATTAAACAGCAAATAAATATATTAAACAAAAGGATAAAAATTAAAAGCACCTACTCTATGTCCCGCTCTTTCCCACTCAAACACACAGTACTGCACACTATTGTCAGTGCTGCTCTGAAGATTTTATCTGTAAAATAGTTTAGCAACTTCAAAACTACATGCCATTTCTCACTAACAAAGTAATAACGGCACTGTTCTTGAAGCAGATTAACTTAAGGGTTTGCTATTACTTCGCTCTTAGTCCCTGCTGCCGAACACTGTTGAAAGACGAACAGACTCCTTAATGTCTCTCTCTATCACTCTCTAAAAATAACTGCATTAGTCTGCATTTATCAATGGCTCAAGCATGGGCAGAACTTAATGATTGAAAGTTTTTACTAAATATTTGTTAATTAATCATTTTTTCAACTCAAAAGTAAATATGCACATAATGTAGTTATTTTAATATATTTTTAAATTGTTATTTTGTAAATAAATTAATAGATAAAATTGAACTTAATGACTTCCCCAATCTCATTTGTGAAAGAAGCTGTCGCATGACGAATCTGCATTTTGGCGGTTAATAGCCTATGTAATATACTGCTTCCCTGTTGCATGGCGTACATGGATATTTAGTGTTTTTACAACATACAACAACTGCAGAGGAATCCGGACATAACCAAAATAAAGTCAGATGAAAATGCCTATGTTTGACATTTTTAAACCCGGACAATTTTATAAAGGTGATCCGCAGGATGCTCCTTTTTAGCAGTTCAGTGTTTTACATTTATGTCAGGAAAAGGACCATTTACATCCAAATGTAATTTAATGCACACAGAACAGAACCTAGAAATAGATTTCAGAATATAAATTGCTTAATTGGCCAGTTTCGGTAAGATTTAACATTACCAAATGTGTTTGTGTGCCTGCTTCTGTGCATTTAACTTGAATCATGTCCAACAGATATCTGTTTAAAAGCAGTGTAATTCACTCGTTGATTTGCTTAAAGTCTACTTTGCGATTCTGTTGATAAATATATTTATAGTGCATTCTATTTGACGTGTTTATTGCTAGCGCAGTAAAAACAGACAGCGCAGCCAGAGATTATCTTACTATAGGGAGATGGGAGGGTCTGTATTACTATTGGAGAAAATGTGACGGCTAACTTGGATCACATGTGCCTTAATAACCAATCACATTACAGCCTTGATGTCATTGAATTTCAGTGAATTGTACGACACTCAGTCGCCGTTTATGGATACCATAGGAACAAATCAAAGCCACTAGAAGGCAAGCATGCACCCTTTAGCCAAAAAAGTGTAACACCTAATGCTAACAGAAAGGTTTTTTTTTTTATGGATGTCAATGGAGGAGAGGCTTCACTACGCTGAATAAACAGCTTTTTAGAGGAAATAGCTCATCATTTAATGAATCGACAGCCTATCGGTAATCTTAAACATGTTTTACACTGTTTACACAGAAAAAAATGCTGTTTTAAAAGAAGTCACTGACTTTTTGTGACAGGTGGGATTCAGCTTACGGCACAAATTCTGGGATTCAGGTTCCACTGCCAAAGCGGAAGCATTAGCATTTACACTTTTTGGGCTAAAGGTTGCAGGCTTGCCTTCTAGGCCCTTTCCCAAATGGCACCCTAAACCCTCGCGGTTTTCCTCTGAGTCTGCACTTTTGTGACGTAATGGCGTTTTGACCGTCAGGTAGAAGTGCGGATCGAGGGCGCATAGTGGCCACAAAGGGGGCACTCGCGAGCACTCTTCTGAATGCTAAAGTGACGAATGGGACACCTACAGTCTCGTGGCCATTTTAAGACCGCAAGTGCACATAAGGTGTTCGATTTGGGACAGGGCCTAGTGGCTTTGGCGCAGCCTTTACAAGTAATTTACGTGCATTGTATATGGTTGCCATGACAACCTCAGCTCTTGCATAAATTTGTAAGTTTACTACAGAAATGCTCAAATGTATTTAAAAGTTTGACTGACCAAATCGACTGGTTTACCCCTCAGCCCCCGCACCCCCAAGCTCAAACGTCAAGCTACGTCTATGGGCTCAAGCCTCCATTACTAGTCATGTTAATTACTTTTGGAATTAACAATGGAGGCAATGGATGAGATGTGTAAGAAATTAGTCCTACACACAAAAGCGTTTTAAGGGGAAAAAATTACAAATGTATTGAAATACAACATCTGAACAATGTCTTGAGGTGTGGTAACCATAGTATAAGTGGAATAATTGACTCTGGTCCTTTGAATTATAATGCACACACCCGACGCTTCGATTTGTGGCTGCTTCACCACCTCTGATGTGCATTATTTTCTAATTATACGACCCGTCCTAAAATATTCATTGCCTATACAATATAATATAATATAATATAATATAATATAATATAATATTTATTATTTTAAACAGAAGAGGATTAGGGCCAAACAATAATAAAAAAAATAAAACCATCTCGAGATTAAAGTCGTAAAATTTCGAGAAAAAAATAATTAAAAGTCGAGATAAAATGTTGAGCTTAAACTAATTAAATTTAGAGAATAAACTCGTTATGTTCTGAGAAAAAAGTTGTTAAATTGCGAGAAAAAAAGTCGAGATAAAATGTTGAGAATAAACTCATTAAATAGCGAGAAAAAGTAGTTAAATTGCGAGAAAAAAGTGGAGAATTAACACACTCATGTCATGTTCATTTCATCTCGTTGGACAGTGTTATTTAGCGTCTGCAGTGGGGTGGGTTCGTACGGAGAGTAATGCACTGCGGAGTAGCGACTGACGGATACGATCGACTGGGTCCAAGTCCATCTTTTGACAAACTCGCTTTTCTTCCTTTTCTCATCAAAGTACTCTAGCCCAATGATGTTGGGGGATCCAGTGGGGGCGGCAGTCATATTTCAGGGTGACCGTGCCACTCTTTATCACAACCCTGCTAAAATGTAGAGCCAGTACATGCGCTCATTGGTGCCCCTTCAGCTGGTGGCGCCCTAGGCGACCGCTTAGCTCGCCTATGCCTAGAAATGGTACTGACATTAGCTATGTTTTACGGAAGAGGATTAGGACCAAGCAATAATAAAAAAATAAAACCATCTTGAGATTAAAGTCGTTAAATTTCGAGAAAATCTTTTAAAGAAATAAGTCGAGATAAAATGCCAAACTCGCTTTTCTTCCTTTTCTCATCAAATATCACATCGGAAAATTGGAAATCAATTAACGAGTGTTTAATAATAATGTAGGCATATTAATTAGGTAGGTTTAGTGTTACTACAGTAAATCCATTGTAAATATGAATTTGTGGTTTGAAAAGTATTCTAACTGCATTGTTGTCACACAGTGTTTCTCCTGTTTTCCACGTCAGTGTTGTTGAGAATGGCAGAGCGGTTTCATCTGCCTTTAAACTAGTTTAAATCACTGTGACATCTGTGGTTTGTATAGGAAAGCTCAGCTTCAAACTCAAACGCTACTCACAGCGCTGTTTAGTGGTCGCCTGATCGAGACCTGCGAGTAAACGCATTTGTTCTGAGCTCGCGCTGCGCTGTCTTTAGGCAGAGCTAATAATGATCCGTGCAGCGCGCTTCACTCGAGTAGCGATCTTCTGCTTTCGGTGCGCTAAAGAAATTACAATACTTAAATGAACTTTTCCACGACATTCTGATTTATTGAGATGCACCTGTAATAGCCTACATTTCAATAGACAAGCTGCGGGCCGTTTGAATTTCATCCACGGGCCGTATTTGGCCCGCGGCCGGACTTTGGACATCCCTGCCAGTTGCTATTTACAGTGAAAATAGTTATATGTACTATTTACACTAAGTGACAACAGCAACATTTTAGATATGTGCTATTTACACTAAGTGAAAATAGCCATTTTATTTACGTTATGTAAAAGTAGCAGATCTTTGCAATATGTGTAAATAGTAGCTAATTAGATGCTATATATACTTATAAATAGTGGCAGATACTATTTGCACCTCAGTATTGTTGTACATTAACAGGATGCATTAATAACATTGATTTTAATAATGATTTTATTTATTGAAATTATTAAATAGATGCTGCCTTATTGGGACAACAACGCTCATAGCCTGCCTACCCCAATTAATACATTATTATTAAACACTTGTTAATTGATTTCCAAATTTCCAATGTGATATTTGATGAGAAAAGGAAGAAAAGCGAGTTTGTCAAAAG